TGCTAAATTGATACTCTTATTAAATTGTCCTCGTAAGTTTTGTCTGGGGCACCGTACATCATTACATCATCACTACACTAAGTCTTCTTAATTCAGACTTTCAATCTGCTTCACTTCTCACGGCCTGAACAGCGCTTCAGCACAGTGGGGGTTCCAACAAACAGAAGAGTAAAGTCAAAGAAAAATAAGTGAAAAAACAGAGTTTACAAAACTGGAGTTTAAAAAATACAGAGAAAATGGGGCTCCTAACAACTGTGCAACACCTGGTAGACACCAAAACTGTCCCCATCAGATAAACAGCACTTAAAGCTTTCATCTTTGAGAGAGAGGAGAAAATCAAGCTGCTTCAGATCTGAAAACATCCACAAGTGTTTCTGTCCATCCTTCCACTGTGAGAAGACAACTCAGCGCTATTGGTCTGAAAGGATGTGTAGCTGCCAAGATGCAACCAACTTCTAAGACTTTGAACTTCGGAGGTGTGGAAAAATATCCCTGCAGATTTCTTTGAAAAGCTGAAAGCAAGTCTCCTGAAAAGAATGGAAGCTGTAATATAGGCAAATCTTTTACACACTAAATCTGGAAAAATGATATTATATTTAATTTTTGAGGCTTTTGTGTAATTTTATGTGAAATATTTTCTACTTTCTTCTGACACTGGAAAATCAGTAATGTCCTTATTGGCTATTTTGACTGGAAACTAAATAAATTAACACAGTACTGTTTATTGTGGAACATCAATGCAATACTGTTTGTGGAGTTCCAATGTACTCAGTCTTTCCATGTGGTAACATAAAATATTTCTACACTGCAATGACACCTTGGCATGTGAAATAATCTTAAATCTAGTCAATACACCAAATATTTCTCAGGCTCTAAAGGGAACCAAATGTGGTATCAACCCCTTTTTTGGCTCCTTTATTTGGGTAAAGATGCAACACTGCAAAAATGATATCTTGGCAAGTGAAATCATCTTAAATCTAGTCAATATGTCTAATATTTCTCACATTGTCTTCATGTCTAATAAGATATATTTTGTTTCCCCAAATAACCTTTCATTTGGTTGGTTCTTTAAAGAACCACTTTGGAAACAAGACACGAGGGTGTAAAGAACCTTTTAACAGACATAAGGTAAAGGTTCTGTACCGATTAAATGCTGTATGTCCAAACCAAGCTTTATTTTTAAGAGTGTGTGCATGAAATATGTGTTGCTCCCTAAATTTATCATGTATCTTCAGCCCCTCCCACTGAATTTCTGCAGGGGTCACAGTACAAAGTCTGAAAGACAGCTGTCAGTGGATGCAAATTAGAGAGTTCGAGGAGAAAGACAAATGTGTAAGGTCAAAAGCCCCAGAAGTTAAGCCTAGCTGCTACATGCAGGGCAGGACAATACCTGGGTGGGCCCCTCCGCCAGCAACAATACACACGGCTCAGCATGCCTCCACCTGCACGGCCTCGCACAACACTGAGGGAGTAAATCTCCATGTCATTACTCAACGTCTCCGTACGCAAAGGACCACCGCCACCTGGACACCATGACTGACAGTTTGGCCACATGAACAAAACAAGGCTGCTAATGTACTGTGTGCTAATCCCTGCTGCACAGTGGTAGATTTGCTAACAGTAACGCTGGGCAGATAAAGCAGCTGGGATTGAAGCAGGGAAACAAATAGTAAGTCCATTGTAAAGTGAAAAAAATGCGGTGGACGGTGTTTGTCATCGATATGACTGCCCGCGGTGGAGCAAAACTAAACGTATAAGCTATAAAAACCACGGTATGACTGATGGGACAGCAATATGCTTCAGTTCAGGTCAAGTCATATACATTAAAGGGATACTTCAAACTTTGACAAGTTTCTCTGCACCTGTGACGTGTTGACTGTAACAGAACGCAGTTGGGCAAATACTTCATATTAGGCTGATATTGTTCTAAATAATTGTGTTTAAAGGGGAACACCACCGATTTTCAAAAAATCTGTATAATTAAATGGTTAAGATGTAAACAAAGTCAGAGTAGTTTGGTGCAAAAAGCTTAATTCTAGAGAAACCTGGTGATAGGAACCAGACGTCTGAAGAGTTTAAGGCCTCTGAAAGCTCCCTCACAGTTATTACATTAAATGGTTATGAATGCTCAGCCTGATGACTGAGACATTGTTTTACACTTATTTTTAGGTAAGTTTTGGCCTAAAACGTATTTTAATCAATTTATTCTAATCTGTTTGTGGTGGAGGGATACATTAAGGGTGTTCTAAGGCAAAATAGTCCCAAAGAAAACCTCCTTTTTAATTTTTTTTTCAGATTTACCACTATTTTACCATCATCAGCAGTACATATAAAAACCTCAGAACACTTGTGAACATTGGTGGTTTTGGATATTAAACAAAATAGCTATATTTGTGTTGTGGACATCAGGATCTCTGGTTCCTATCACCACCACTGTAAATAAATCAGTCAGTAAGTTTCTCTACAAACGATTTCGCATCAAACCACTCTGAATATTGTTTACATTTCAACCACTGAATCCTGCAGACATTTGGAAAAATTGGTGGAATTCCCCTTTAAAGCACTTACAGGGCCATGATAACTTGCATGAAACAGTGAATTTTGGACTTATCTTAAATGAGCTTTGTAAAATCTCATCATGGAAAGTGAAAAAAATCTAGAAAAATATATATTGTAAGTGATAAATTCAGTTTTAGACCCTGTGTTTACATTTTGTTTTTACAGTTGCAAAATTGAAATGCACATCTTTATATTTATTACTTTGTTATGAAGTAAAAACTTCAGATGTTTCATGCAAGCAGCCACCAGTATTCCTCACCTGTGACTTCAAAGACAATTAAGACGTCAGAACAACAGGAGTAACCCACTTAGCCATCATTTTTCGAGGGGCGCTCAAGCCCAGTGCAGGGCCCTTCTCAAGTGAAATCCTCTGGAAGATTCTGGAACTTGTCCAGTTCTCCGTGTCCCTGGGTCACCCTGCCTAATGAGACCCAGCCAAGCTGATGTGCCAATGAGTTCACAGCTCAAACCTGCTCTTCGGTGCTTTTTCCCTACATCATGACTACACTACAGCCTTCAGTTTATAAAAGGACAACACTCACATTAAAGCTCAGGGTGTGTCTGACACAGAGAAAGCTGACCAATAGGTTAGCCCCTATAGGAAAGATGCCTAAATCTAAGAGATTAACTGAGTATCCAGCCTTCCTGTTGGGCAAGACCTGAACATTCCTCCTGCCAGACATGTGGCACCACTGATCATTTCAAGTCTCCTTCATGAGGCGTTTTGGCATCCTGGAGCTTTAGACTGCACCATGTCCAGCTTGGCAGCCCAGGCTGAGCGTCATGAGTGGGCCGAGAGCGAAAGGCCCACAGGCATTGCGGGGAGACAGCCAGGGCTACAAAACAGAATGAGGAAATTACAGACTAGACGGCATCACGTGAGGAATGGGGCATGATTTTACACATATGCAGTGCTGTGTAACTTAGCTGAGTGTATCTTGTCGCTACAAAACATCGCATCCCAGAAAAGGTGATAAAATACCAGGACCTGCCTCCATTCCTTCCATTCCTTACGCCTATAGCTTGAAGAGGAAAGCCACCAATTTTTCAAAATGTCTGCAGAGGTAAACAAAGCCATTCAGAGTGATTTGATGTAAGTTTTGTCCACAGCATGAATGTAGCCCTTTTATTCATTACCCAAAATGACCCACATGTGCCTTCTGAGTTTATATGTAATGTTGATGGTAAATCTGTACAAATAAGGTTTCTTTGCAGCCTTACAACACCCTTCATGTACCATGTGCATTTTAAAAACATACAGTTTAGGCCAACACAACTGTAAAACAGTGTCTCAGCCATCAGGCAGCATATTTATAAACATTTCATGTAATAACTTTATATATGGGAGCTTTTAGAGACATTAAACTCTTCGGACGTTTGGTTCCTATCACCACCACTGTGAACTATTCTGACATGGTGATATCTCTAGAACAGAGCACTTCACACCAAACCACTCAGAATGACTTTGTTTACTTATTATGAAAATTCCCCTCCAAGAATAACTGCACTGATTTCTATGTAATTACTGAATAATAAGCCTTTATAATGATTAGTGAGACTTTAATGTAACATAATCCAAGTAATGTAGGGTTATTTTTAGTGGTCTATTGAATATGAAGTGTTTACAGTGTAAGGAGCAGCTGGTATCTTTACATGGTGTAAAAATGTAAAAAATTAATATGCAAAAATATGGACTGTATGCTCTGTGATTTCTGTATGTTCCTTTATTTACATCCTGGACGATTAAATGTCCATTAATTCATCCCTGATTTAGATCTTTTAGAAGGTGACATAATGCTTTAAGTGGTGGAGTAATATGAATAATAATCTAGAGCTTTCCAGTAACAATCCCTATCACATGTTTACAGAGCATATTGGACTTCCATCCTGTCTCTTGGCACAACCTGTCATTTGAGTAACTCTGTGGCCACGCTGGGAAACCGCGGTCCAGGTCTCTTCTTTGGAAACGTACGGACACAAATGATCTCAGCATTGGCTGAAGACAAGCTTAGTGTTGTTCACGGTGGCTCTGGTGGTCTTTGTTGTGTAATTTCCCACTATTCTCCCTACGTTCCATTGCAGTGCGCTGTTTACAGTGGTTGAGGGAGGCGAATCATTCACACACTCACACACTCACGCGCTCACACACACACACCACACTGTTTATAGCTACCTCGTGCCAACACACACACCCATGGGAATGTTTGCTCCATACCGAATCCGCAATAAACTAAACACCGGTCGTCTAGACAATGACAAGTACCCATGCACGATGAACTGGACAGTTTGGTTACACCACTGACCACTGCCATACAATTACCCGCCTAAAAATAAGTCATAGGCTACAGCTGGAGAAATCTCTGACACTAATAGGAACGGACATCTGGAGGGTCCAGCTGTGTGAGCGAGCGCGAGCGCGCGGATGAGATGCGAATACACACCTGTCTCCGCGAAGCTGATGATCTCCGAAGTTTCCTCCTCCACTTCATTGGTGTAACTGGCGTGCCCGTCCAGGTTGGGGATCTCCACCCTGCCGTCCTCGCGCACTTTCCCGGCGTGCAGCTTCCGCAGCGCGGTCACCATCGCCGCCTTTGGTATGGGGTGGGTGATGTTGGGTCTGTTCCTCATCTGCAGTCTGCTCAGGATGTGCCTTTTCACAGCCTCCAAGAAGTCCCCGTCCATCCGCCTCGACTCGTCCGGCTGGCCGAGGCCACAAGACGCGCAAGTGTCCCGAGGAGACACCGTCTGGGCTTCGGTGTCCGGCGCCGGAGTGCAGCGGCTGGAGAGAACGCAGGCAGCAAAGCAGAGCACCTTCACGACGAGCGTTCTCATTTTCTTTTACGCGCAGATCTCCCCCTCCCCAAAAAACAGTCCGTGCGTCTTGGCGAGTGGAGCAGAAGGACCCTCAAGTTCGTACCGCACGCGCGTCTCCCAACGAAAACGCACTAACAGAGTAAAGAAAATAAAGACTGGAACATCCACTGTCCGTGTGGTGATGCGGCACTTGGCTCTTCCATCCGATGATTTAGGCTGACTGGATGCGATCAAATGAAGAAAATGAATTTTTTTTAGACTCCTGTTTTTTTTAATGCTCAGTCTTTGGTCACGCAGTGATGCGCGCGATGCAAACTGGACAAAAGAGCAGTGCGCCAAGACTGCACAAGATTGCACAAGTTGACTTATTGTCCTCCGGTGCTACTTAACAAAGACTGGGACGCGGACTGGAAACCTCCAAATCGGCCGTGAGTGGCACTTCAGCGCGAAGCCTGGCGCGTCATGGCATGGCTACGAGCTCTTCCGCAGCATTATTAAAGAGTCAGCCACCAAATGATGGGCGCCCTGCTGATGGAGACTGACCTTTCAGCCGCTCGGCTCTCTTGTCAGTTAAAAATATCCATACTGAAAAAAAGCAAGCATTCAGAAAATCCCCCCAGCGGTATTTCCGATCTGACATTCGCCAGTCTTGTTTTTTTTTAAGTCCTGCCCTCCTTTGTCTGATATATTGACTTCCAGTGTGCGTTTCCCAAGTCGTTCTTCATAGCTTTAGGGCCGCGGGGATGCTGCGCTCATCCACGCTGCTGCTTTGCGAGCGCGACATTGTGCTGCTTTGGACAGAAAGTTTTTATACAGGAGTAGAAACCACGTGGGACGAGTGGCCAACTGGAGTCCACTGGAGCGGATTATAAACGCAGAGGAACTCCCTGATGGTCTCTGAAGGGGCTCACAGCCAAACCTAGACATGACGAGCTGATTCAAGAGCCTTAGTCCACTCATTACCGTAACGCTTATCTAGCTGGCCCCACATACTTTCCTCAGCAGCCTATAATACATGATAAAAGACATGAAGGTTCTTCATTAATTCCTAATTAAAAGTTTGATTTAATCAGCCCAACAGTGCTTATTTCCATACACGGGGCTGAACTCCACTGAAACCGCGTAGCAAACCAAACCCTCACTTGATGCTGCTCTATTAGACGTTCCTGAGAGTGAAGGAACTGACCCGACTAAACTGGACAGGCCGGGATCAAATCTGGTCCTCTAAGTCACTTCATGGCTGAGTAAGAGGTTGGCTTAGCACTCTGGAAGAGGCCGCTGCAGCAGCTCAACATCCCAGCCTGCGGATTCACACAGCGACTCCCGGCGTGATGAGAGCGGTTCGCTCATTAGAGTTGTCACGCAGCGCCACCTGTCGGCGAAGCAGTGCTCGTGCATTCGAGATGAACGTGGCCTAAACCTGCTATTTGTTCCAAACCACACATGAAACTTAAAGAGCTCAGACTCTATTCAGGACATTTATTTCTCCAATAAAGAACTTTAGTAGTAAAATAACGGTTTTCACTGGAGTGCAGAACTTCTTAGTACATCCAGCTGTTATTCTTCTACTGTCCTGGTGTTTGGCTGGGGTTTTTTTTTTATACTTTTGGTCTAAAATAAATGTAAGGATGATCAATTTATTGCAGTAAATCTGTGCTAAAGCTATTTTTGTGGATGAAAGTATTGGAAATTATGAAAATGTTACTGTAAAAAGTAATATATGTGTTCTCTTCTTAAAAACAAATGCAATATTAGTTATATTAGTTAAATATACATTAACATCACTTTGACTTTGGCTGTGTATGAATAATTCTTATTTGATTGCCTTGATTTTGTATGTGCAGCTCATGGCCTCACTAAACGCATTTACAGAGCTGACTAGCATGGCTACACTCTCAGAAATAAAGGAACAAACCTGTTACTGGGGCAGTACCGCTCTTGTCACTGGGGTGGGTCCCTCAAGGGTACATCTCAGTACCTTTAGTCAAGGAACATAATGGTACCAGAATCCATTGAAATGATATTTTCTAAGTTGTATTGACTCCACACACCCCGTCTCGTCTCCAGGCCAAATGTCAAAACAACACAGAAGGCATTTATTTTAAACAGGCCATTCCAAGACTGCCAATTTCTTTTTAGCAATGTGTTCTGTCAAAAGGCGGCTGGTGTTTTTCAGATCATTATCGTTAGAGCAGTTTCTTTGCAGGTTTGCATCTAGAGTGAAGACTGTACACCCTCAGTGCAGTATGGTTGGAATTCGTGTCCAGGTTTTCTCCACACAAAAAGTCTACCATTAGTTTAATGTTATGGTAAAATGTTTTTCTCTGGTACAAATATCGTTTTGTTGAATCTTATATAAAATAATGACCTTTATATTAAACTAAAATATAAAATAAATAAAGATCTTTTTCAAAATGTAACAGCAGTTAAATGGTTAAAGTGTCCAAATACTTTTTGGGGGTGCTACAGGGCTACTACAGTTCTGACGATTTTTTATCACCACCAAAAAACTGACAAGAGGTAAACAACATACAAGAAGTGAACATATAGACACATTTATTGCCAGGGGTTCATAGAAAAAAAGTAATATCATTGTATTGTATAACGATGACACATGTTTATTATAAGTTCAGCCACACCCATTGCTAACAGGTGTATAAAATGAAGCACATAGTCTTACAGTCTCTGAAGACAAACAATTGCAGTAAAATGAGTCATACTGAAAAGCTCAGTGACTTTAAACATGGCACCATCTCTGCCACAAGTCAGTTTGTGAAATTTTTGTCCTGCTAGATCTGCCCCGGTAAACTGTAAGTGCTATTGCTGTAAAATTGAAGCTCCTCAGAGCAAAAACAGCTTCACCACAAAGCAGTAGACCACGCAAACGCGGAGGGTGGAGTCGAAGTTGACTGGCCTGCACAGAACCCTGACCTCAACCCTATCCAACACCTTTGGGATGAACTAGAATGGAGATTGCGAGCAAGGACCTCTCGTCCAACATCAGTGTCCGACCTCACAAATGCTTTTCTGGATGAATGGACAAAAAGCCCACAGACATATTCCAAAATTTTATAGAAAGCTCCATATTAATGCCTATTGATTTAGAATGGGATGTTATAAAGACTACTGTATGTGTCCCAATACTTTTGTCCATATGTGTGTGTGTGTGTGTGTGTGTGTGTATATATATATATATATATATATATATATATATATACCTCGTTTCCAAAAAAGTTGGGATGCTGTGCAGAATTTGAAAAAAAATCCAATGATATGCAAATCATGTAAACCAGAATACTACAAAGACAACATATCAAATGTTTAAACTGAGAAATTTTATTGCTTTTTGTGAAATATATGTTCGTTTTGAACAAACATTTTGAATTTGATGCCAACAACACGTTCCAAAAAAGTTGGGACGGGAGCATATTTACCACTGTGTTTCATCACCTCGTCTTTTAGCAACACTATATAACTACTATGCCATGTGCACCAATTTACCCCTATACCATCATGAACACTGGCTTTTGAACTGTACGCTGATAACAAGCTGAGTGGTCTTTAGCCCAGAGGACACAGTGTCCATGATTTCCAAAAAGAGTTTCAAATGTTGATTCTTCGGACGACAGGACACTTCTTCTTCCTGTTTCCTCTTCGCGTTGAGAAATGTTATTCTTGCAGTCTTTCACAGAGTGGTGAACCCTCCTCATCTTTACTTCTGAAAGACTCAGCCTCTCTGAGATGTTCTTTTATACCCAATCATGTTATTGACCTGTTGCCAGTCAACCACCAGGTGTTTTTTTTTTCACAACTTTACCAGTCTTTTGTTGTCCCTGTCCCAACTTTTTTGGAATGTTTTGCTGGCATCAAATTCAAAATGGGCATATATTTTTCCAAAAACAATAACATTTCTCACACACATATATATATATATATATATATGTGTGTGTGTGTGTGTGTATATATATATATATATATATATATATATATATATATATATATGTGTGTGTGTGTGTGTGTGTGTGATGAAAATTACAGGTATCATCTATAATTTAATAATCTGCAATTTATAAATAATTTATAATTTTTTTTTTTACCTTATTATTAATACACTCTTAAAAACACAGTTCTATATTAAATGATAGCATGTTTAAATGGTTCTTTGCATGGTGAAACAGTTCTCCAGTCTGATGTTGTATATGGTTCTATATACACTTTTTGGTATATTTTCAAAAAGCCAGATTCAACACATTCTCCATCAATCCGAAGAACCATTTCAGCATGCAAAGAACCATTTAAAGGGTAACTTCACCCATTTTGCTCCATTCTAGAGAAAGCTGCCAAGTCAGAATTGTTGACAGTGGTGATGATAGGAACCAGACATCAACCTCTAAAAGCTCCCTCACAGAAAATTATTACATGAAATGGTTATGAATACGCTGCCTGATTTCTGAGACACTGTTTTAGGATAGACGTTGTTTTATATAAACGTCTTGTTAATCCATTTATTTCAATCCATTCATGATGGTGGGGTACACAAAGGGCGTTGTAAGGCAACACAGTCCCCAAAGAAAAAATATTGTTATAATTATTATAATAATTATGATATAATATAAATAATTATCGTTCTGTTGTTTTATCGTCATCAACATTACATATAAAACTCAGGGGACATATGTAGGTTCAATGGTGGGTTTGGATAGTAAATAAAATGACTATACTTGTAACCCCTGGTTCCTGTCACTACCACTGTAAAGAAACCTGTAAAGAGTCTGTAAGTTTCTCTACAATGAACCACTTCACATTAGACTACTCTTTACATCTCCGTGACTGAATTACACGGAAATTTTGAAAAATCGGTGGAGCTCCCCTTTTTCCCAGTGTATGTCATCACATAAAGATGGCCAAAAATCCTGCAGCGGGAAACGTCACATCACAAAGATCATTTCTAACAACCGCATTGTTACGGCAAGACACATCTTGCCTGTCTGTGACATCACATCCCCACTATTTGACTTTCCGGTGGGCGGGACTACAGAAGAGCAGCAGTTTGGGAGCAGGGAGTCGGCCCACTGTACAGTTACAGCCCAGTTTAACTGATTCTGTAGCTGGAAGTGTAGCCTGTTAAAGACCCGCTCACGGTGAGAAAACTTCGATGACTGTATTTCTGTGTTTCTGATTTCCCTTTTTATGCTTTGGCTAATTCTACTTAATCATGTGATCTTTTTAAACCGCCTAGTTCAGGCGTTACTTCTCTCTTTGTGGAAAACATTTGATTGACACTCTTGTAGTCCTGTGAGAGGGGAAATGCAGGAGGGCGGGCTGTTTGGAGGACGCGCTCAGCCAATCAGAAGCAGGCGAAGGCGGGTCTTCTGAGCACAATAAGGAAGGGGTGGTGTCTTTTTTTCTGAGAATAGCGAAAAGAAAACAAAGTAGTTTTAAAAATAATCCTGATATAAATGCAGGCAGTGCTGTCTCAGTTCCTTTGCTGTGGGAAGTTAATTCACGCTCGTTATCTTGTACCTTATTCTTTGAGAGTCTTTTAGCATAGTTTACTCGCTACATATTCGGTGAACGGCGATGAAATGTTCATTTTACATCGGTTATTAGTTTCACTTTTCGCTTTTAGTACTTCGCAGCGGTTTGTGTACTCCTACTGTATGGAACACAAAAACCTAACAAGTGTAGACATTTGGGCGAAAACAGACTAGAGTTAGACATGAACTATGGTTTAACTTCAGAAACCAAACCGTTAGTGGGAAATGAGGTTGACCAAGTGGCTGTTTAATGTAGTAGTAACAAACATATTAGCTGAAGCCCACTGGAATGTAACAGTCATTTTGTTTGAGCATAAAAGACATCTGTGCTGTATCTGTGGTTATATCTGATATTTGATCATGACAAAGTGCTAACCTCAGCACAGTGAAGCCAGTGAGTCATGTTACAGTAACTCAAACTGTTGATTAACACAAGCAAAAATACCCAGAGCTGGTGCCAGAGGAGCTGTCACTCTTTTCCAACCTTTCAACTTATCAGTCAGTTATGAAGACTTCCATATGCAAATGTAGGCATATTAGAGCGAGGAACCCTCTGTGCGTTTCTTTTTTGTGAACCCTCATTAATATGTGTACGTTTGACATATGCTTTATGTTGTTGGGTGCAGTCTTTCCAGGAGGAAGCAGGTTGAGCCGAACTGCACAGGAGCAGTACGGACATGGCAGCCAATAAGACTAAGGGTCAGAGCTCTCTGGCTCTGCACAAGGTCATCATGGTGGGCAGCGGAGGAGTGGGAAAATCAGCCCTCACACTGCAGTTCATGTATGACGAGGTGAGACTCACAGTGACTCAGCGTCTTTACAGAAGCAGAGAGGAGAATAGCACATGACAACTTTATTCATTCCATATAGGTTTTAAATGAAGGAAATTCCACTTTGTAGATCTCAGCCTTGTAATATACATTATAGTCTCACCCTCTTACTCAGGTGCAGACCAGCTGATATCTACTGCATGTTAAGTTGGCCACAACTCTTGGGGTTTGATTGGCTGTCTTCATTACAGTTACTCGCTCTGTGAGTCTTTTGGAGCAAGATGTAGTAACTGGATACAGAAATGCATGTAAAATTCACAGCATCACGTCTTTAGCTCAGTTTTGTTGTTTTACCTAATTTTCTCGCCAATTTAGTCTTTTTCCAGTTCCACCCACTAGCTAGGTTCTTCCCCAATCACACAAGGCTTCCAGGCCAGGAGGGTGAAGGCTAGTACATGCTTCCTCTGAGGCATGCGAAGCCAGCCACCACATCTTTTCAAACTAACTGCCAGAACTACCAACTATATTATGTTAGCCAACAGATGCCTGCATGGGCTGGCATTGCACCAATCCAATAAAGCAAGGACAGTTATGCTATCATGGGCTCTCAGCCACAGGTGGCGCTAGGAACCAAACTTGCGACATCTTGATGGTGTCAGCACTTATGTAACTCAGTTTAGAAAAACATCTTGCTACAGTGTTTCGTACACTTATGTTAAAGCTTCCTAAATGGTTCTTGGATGTATAATTGTAGGAGAAAAACTTTAATTAGTCTGGAACCTATACATTGGAGGTTCTTTAAACTTAAAAACTAGAGATGAGCAATAAGGCAAAAATATACTATTGCGATACTTAAAGAAATTTTCACGATCCACGATATGTATTTTTTTCAAACATCTGATCAGTTGGAACAGAAAAAGTAGTGTTACATTTTAAAAATACTACTAAAAACTGTGAATGCATTGATTTTTATTCAGTATTTGGCATACTGTCTTGCACTTAATCCAGTCGAATGGGACTGATTTTGCTCTTTTTATAATAAATTTTGCTCTATTTATGATGTCAGTGTTCTACAAGTATGAACAATATGCATAAAATGTTCTATTGTATTGTGACATAATTTATCATGATAACAATATATATTGTTATAATGCCCTAATGCCATATTAAAAACTTTAAAAACATAACAAAAACTTTTACATTTTAAAAAACGGTCCCTCACTCATTTCATTTACCCACACATTTGATGTACTAAAACAGTTCTTTAAAGAACCTTCCATTGAAAGGTTATTCAGGCAACCAAACGTGGTTCCTCTCTGCTGTTCCAAAGAATGTAAGTATGAAACTAGGCCTAGAGCGGTGATAAAATGTGAAAATCTTTGTCCCGTCTGTTTCTTCTCCAGTTTGTAGAGGACTATGAGCCCACAAAAGCAGACAGCTACAGGAAGAAGGTGGTTTTGGATGGAGATGAGGTCCAAATCGACATTCTGGACACAGCAGGGCAGGAGGACTATGCTGCCATCAGGGATAACTACTTTCGCAGTGGAGAGGGCTTTTTACTGGTGTTCTCCATCACAGAGCAAGAGTCTTTCAGCGCCACTTCAGAGTTCAGGCATGTGTCTTTGCCTGGAATGCATTTCGTAGAAAATATATACCCAGTGCATCACTCAGAAACGTACACAGAATAAAAAGCCTTCCTAGCTTTAAACCAACAACCTCACCCCCCATAAAAATCTTTTATCATAACTGGAATAGAAACACATTGTTGCTCTAAGGCTCAAATTTTAATTTGTCTATCTGCACATAATGCAGAACAAATAAATTGATCTATCCCACAAATGTGTTCTTCATAGCAGCTGTTGCTAGGTTAAGTAAGCTTTACAAAAGTTGGCAAAAATCCCATTCAACATAATAAGAATAATGATAAATGTCCAGTTTATCATGATAAATTATGTCACACTATGCATTTCTGAGCATTTCTGCATTTCTGAGTAGTTACAGAACTTATAAAGAGAGCATACTTAGTCCTATTTAACTGCGTTTACAGTAGCACAGTATATGAAATGGTGAGTAAAAATTATGGCGTTTATAGTTTTTAGTATTTTTCAAATGTGGCTCTATTAGGGCTTTTCTGTCTGTTTCAACCTAAAAAAAATAATATTATAACGCAAGTAATATGTCGTGAAAATACTGTGTTGTATTTTTGCCATTTTGCCCACCGCTAGTTTAAAATGCTATGATACCGAGCTGGACTGTGTTGTTGTTGCTAATCAAAACTAGGCATGTTTAAAATGGTTCACTGACAATGACAAATTGACCACAATGCTAATGTTATCTTGATACCACAACAATAAACCTGACTTTCTTATTTTTGTGAATTTTCAAAACAAAGATTTTTGAAGGTGATAAAAATGCTACAGTTTCAGAAACAATATGAAATAGTTCTCAGCAGTAAAAGCAGCTTTGATGAAAATCAGAGATTTCTGGACTGAATGGAACATTTGTTGAAAAGATCTTTTGCTCTGTTTGCTAAACTAGTGAATTTACAGTGGAAACACACTCCTGGTAGACACTTCCTTGGGTTGTGTTTGTTCCTCAGTCCTGAAGCTTTGACTCATCAAGTTGGTTAGATCAAAAACATGGTATCATAACCACAGAAAGCCGTACAAACAGGACGGCTTAGTGTCAAGACTGAACCAATACTTGCCCTGTCTTGTGCAGTTGACGTATAAAGTAGGTTGCAGACCTACAAAAACTGACCATAAAAATGCTGCCATTATATGTTGGGCTTGTGTGTGTGTGTGTGGGTGTATGTATGTGCGTGTGTGTGTGAGACAGAGAGCAGATTCTGCGTGTGAAGTCAGAGGAGGATAAGATTCCCCTGTTGCTGGTTGGGAACAAGTCTGATTTGGAGGACAGGAGGCAGGTGCCTGTGGCTGGAGCTCGGGAAAAGGCTGAGGAGTGGGGAGTTCAGTACGTGGAAACTTCGGCCAAAACACGCGCCAACGTCGATAAGGTACCATACTGTGACATCTCCATATAGTAACTGTGCTTCTACAGTACTCTTCAGAAGTTTGGAATCAGTTGTCATATTAATAAATATTACTTTTTTATATATGTATTAGTAGTATTGTGCAAAAGTCAGAGACCACCCAGCATTTATTTAACTTCCAGTCAAAACAGCCATTAAGTGCAAGTTATTCCTGTTATTTCTAAGAAATTTCTAAGACTAGATATGAGATAATCCACTTGCATTAGGAAGGAGGAAGTCAAAGGGAAATAAGTGAAAACAGGAATGCCCAAAACTGGAAATCCAAAAAATAAAATAGATATAGATAAAATAAGACTCCTAACAACTGTTTTGTTTTCCCCTGATGCTAAAAATTAATAACATATACTAAATGGCTATTTTGACTTTAAACTGACTTTTGCACGTACAGCACAATACTAACTTACTAACTTAAGATATTATGTTGATTTTAGTTGTTCTGTGCAATATTCTGATTATTCTGTGAACAAAATGACATAAAGGATAAACAATGTACTGTAATTATCGATTCACAATCATTTTAACAACTTGCATATGAAATATGTGACGTTCTGGATGTTAATTTTATTCTAACTTCATTCTTGATTTTATACAGCTTTCTCTAAAATTCCTGCATTTAAATTTATAATTTCGAACCAGTGAAGTTGCACAGTACTAACATATGAAAATCATTTTATATTATGTGCGCCCATATTGGTTATATCGTCACTGTCCAAAGAAAACCATGTATTCCCATTTTTGTCCATTTTTATTTTTCTGCATGATTTCAACACACCAGCTCCAAAATTACTTGAAATAAAACCTCTTTACATTAAGTATATGGCTTTTGCATAATACTACTAATGTAAAGGTCAGAGCGTTTTTGCTCTCTCCTGTAAACATACTATTTTGTTTTTCTTTGGACAGCGACAGTATATTATTCAAAAACATTAATTCCAAACTTTTGAATAGTACACTATGTATGTAGTATGCAGCAGCGGTTATTGTAGTAGTGCAAATGATTTATTATTCAGCACTTACTAAAATTTCAACATAAGATTTCAACAATTACTATAATCTGTAACTCTTCACATGTTAATAAGTGGTTTTCATCAGAGCTAATCTTGTTAAGTATAACCATGACATCATGATGTACCTGCTGAGATGTCAATGCTGTTTCCAGGTCTTCTTTGACTTAATGAGGGAGGTGCGAGCTAAAAAGATGGCCGAGAACAAAGACAAAAATGGGAAAAGTGGCAAGAAGAAGAAAAGCCTGAAAGAGCGCTGCACGCTACTCTGAGCCACTAGATGGAGCCTTTCTGATGGACACAGAAAACCTGAAAGCTGTGCTTCCACTGCTGTGGTTAGCTTCGCCAAACTCGGTCATACATGAAAACTGTGAACCGGCTGTGGATAGATGCCCTCTTTGCTGTATTCAGCATGGAACTCGCGTCTGTTAAACAGTTTAAGAATTTCTCAAGTGCTTTTGATACTTTATCCATGTTTTTTTTTTTCTGCCATCAAATGGGTGCCATCGTAGAAAACTAGCAGGGCAACTGTCATTGGGGCATTTGACCCAGAGGGGTTATATCCTAATGACTTGCATTCCACTATCAGGTTTAGAAATGGATGACAGCTTCCAGTGCTGGCATGTACACATATACACATGAGAAAATACTCCTTATGCTGCGATGACTGTCCTTCAGTACTTTGTAGTTTGTCAGCAGTGCATTAATATGTACCACCACTGTGGTTTTTATTTCATATTTTGTATGAGCTCTCTGTTTTTGGAGTCCATACCACCATTAAGATAAATCTTACATTTTCTATAAATGAGCCATACATAGTTTAGCAATGAGCCATATTATGTTAAAGGTGTTTTGATTAGACAGTGATCTTGATGAGTGCTACAGAACCTTTAGAGAAACAATCAGAGGCTTCAGACTATGTCCAAAAGTTTACAGACACCTGTCTTCTGAGATCAAGGGTATTAATAGGGAGATTCCCCTGTTTGCTGCAGTGACTGCCTCTATTCTTCTGGGATGGCTTTACACTTGGTGTGGGAACATTTGCTGTGAGGATTTGATTGCATTCAGCCACAAGAGCATTAGTGAGGTCATGTACTGATGTTTGATGATTAGTTCTGGATCACAAATGTCACTCCAACTCACCCCAGAGATACAGGATGGAGCTGATGCAGTACCACTGCTCCACAGCCCAGTTGAGCTGGCAGTAGTTTATACAAGGTAATACTAGGTATGTGTGCTCAATAGAGCACCGGTATCGGCAAAGGGCTCACATTACGTTAGCTGAATATACTAATTAGACAGGCTGTCTGGATGCTTTTGGACATACTGTGTCTCAGTCTCATAGCACAAACATCAAGTTGTTGTGGTAGAAAGAGCAGCACTGAACACACTCTTAACACTAGGATTCTATCTGGAGTGCTGGCTGGGGGGAGGGAGGGGCTTCTCAATTATCTTGATGACAAAAATATCAAGGATGTCCAGTATATTAAGAATTTACACACATTCCAATTAGATGATGTTGAATGAAGTTATCCAGCTAACTGAGAACGTCTGTTTTGGTGTGAACCTGCCCAATCCTGTAGTAGTGTTTTCACAGATGTCACTATGCAAGTCCACCAAATGTACTGCTTTTAGTATAAACCACGAGTCATAAAATTGTGGTAACCATATTTTTGTAATGAAACCACTTTTTGTATGAATACCTGTTGATGACAGACCAAATAAAGTGTATCTATACTTAAGGTCAAAGTCTGCGATGTGTACAGCCATTTAGTTCAGTTTAGATGTACATTTTTTGAAGGTATTTTCATTTAGAAGGTTTAAGTTCTCAGAACAGCTATTACGGGCAAAGTACTCTGGTCCAGCTCTCTCTCCTTTAGACTCGATCTCAACAAGTCGTAGTCTTAGACATAACACAGGTGGTTGTGTCTACAGCTCAAGGGTAAAAAAACAAGCAATTCAAAACGGTCATCTTCCGAGTATATCAGCCCTAACTATTTACTTAGGAATTAGGAACTATTTACTTAGGGCATTAAATGTCTACTCGGTTTCATTTGGCTTTAGAGCAAATCAAAGGATTAGATCATTGGTTGCTTAATTGTTCAAAAGTCTCAGTACCCTGAACTGTTTTAGATCAGGTCAGACATATTTATGCTTGATAGTTCTGACTTGAGCTCTTGTTCCTTGAAAGAAGGCTGTTATAAATCAAAGGCATCTACTACAACATGAACTGCAAGAAGCCTCCAGTGCACATTTAACACTGTGAAAGACTTTGTCCTGCTTGTGCACAAGCTTAACCAACAAAAACACCAGGTGAAGAAAACTATAGTACTGAATACTTGATAGAACTGCAGCACAACGTCTTAGTACACAAAGCATCTATAAGCAAAGGGGTAAAGCTTTTTTAGTGGTACTTTTCTCTTTTGGATACATTTTTCATTTAAACTAAGTATGAAAGTAGGAAACTCAATAGTAAGAATAGTAGTGGGCGGTATGGGCATAAATAAATACAGTATGATTAAGATTACTGACATATTCAGTATGTATCACAGTATAGTGTTTTTTATGTATATATTTTTCCTGAAACAATATTGGATGCTTAAGTAAACCTCATTTGTAGATTAACAATGATGTATTATTCTGGATGTTCCTTTACTTTTAATAAGAACCGTGTTTAACGACTGAAGTAAACCTAAAATATTTTTATTGGGCAAAATAGTAAAAACAGAAATGAACAATATATAGACAGACATCAATACTGCTTTCTAACCCTAACAAGATAAAGGCGAGTTCATGTAAAGCCCACAGCGGCTTCTCTGAACGGTACGATGCCAGATTCAGCTTTTTTTGTGCCAGCTTTTTGTTGATGCACCAGAATGTCACCACTGCACTATTTAAGGTGAGTAAGAAGCCAAATCAGCCTTGTAAAAACAGTCATATATGCGTCTCTTACACTTGAGCTTTAGTCTACAAGCAGTCGACGCTGCTGGCATAGTTCACACTATGAGTTCACACTATGAGCCGTTCACACTATGAGTAGCTGAGAAGCTGTCTAGAATCGCAGCTTGTAGGCAGAGACAACGGCATCACCTAAAGCAGCTGGCTGAGTGAGGAGCGCTGAAGAAGCCAGCTAGTCTCCATGCTAGGCTAATGGCTAACAGCTAACCCCAAGAGACTGGCTTTTCCTCTGATGTCTGCTTCTTTGACAATAGACTGAACTAACTTACCTCAGGCTGAAGCTTACCACACAAGAAGTGAGGGAATCACCATGTTTTGCACTGTTTATACGTCGCCTTATCTGCATTTATTTGTATACCGCTATAACGGTAATGACAAAACTGAGCCCTTTAAAAAAGAATTCTAACTGCTATGTTTCAGATGCTGTCTGCAATGTGACATAATGAAATTAAACACAAAAAAGGATATAGTAACTAAATGTTAGTGATGATAATGTAACCAAGTAAAAAGCAGATTCCTTAATCAACTAATATATCCAAGTAGAAATAAAAGTATTATCTTTTGAAACTACTTAGAAGTACAAATTCGTTTATATGTTACTTAAACATGTATAACCGAGTAGACAGAATTAGTCACTACCCACTTTGGGTTTCACAAATTTTACGCATGTATTCTATACAAATACTTCTCCAGCAGGGATTCCATTAATTTACTGTATAGAGCACTTCATGGCGCACGCACTGCAAGATCCTAACATGAAATAAAGTTTTACCTAGGTAGTTAGGCTTAATGGGCCTCATTTAGCAATTTCTTCCTAAGTTTTTTCTTAACTTTGTTCTTGAGAAAGGTTCTAAGAAAAAGTCTACGTCAGATTCATGACGTGTTCTTAAACCCCAGAACTGTTTGCACCTTTGTGCTCCTGAGTGTGTGTAGATTCTGTTCTTACCTAAGAACAAGTCCCAAGTAAGAAAACACTGAATGTCAGGATCTTGTGAACTGAACTGTGTAAGTGGGTTTTAAGAAGAAATTTCTTCTTAAGAACGGTTGGTGAATGAGGCATAATGTTTACAGACAGGGCTGTAACCTGTATCAGAATTTTAGTGAGGTCCATATTGCAGAAATGTGACCTAATTCACACAGTGCATAAACCACACTGCCAAACATGTTAACAACACTATGTGCTAATTTCTGATTTCCTGTTTTTCATCACATCAATTTTGTTTTTTTTGTTTTTTTTTACCTCTAATGTTTATGTACATTAACATGAGTTTTTTGATTTATTCTATTTAGTTAATTATTTAACCATTTATTTGCCTGTTTATTTCAGCTGAAAATACATGTTGAGGCCTATACATTAAATCAGTTGTGCTTATTTTTTTATTGTCCAAGTAATCAAGTTATCTCATTTAAACAGCAGAATTATACAGTACTCTTAGTGAGCTAGCAGTAGCGTTACTGCTTGTACAAAACCACCCACCAAATGTGCATTCACATGCTGATTTAGCTGGCCATGTTGAGAGCAGTCTACATCATCTTTCGTGGCCCAGTGGCCTAATGGATAAGGCATCAGCCTCCGGAGCTGGGGATTGTGGGTTCGAGTCCCATCTGGGTCGTTACATTTCCAAAACAACGAAATGTTATTTGGCAAGTAAAAGAAAAACTGGCTGTTTATGTTGTAATAATAAGATAAATCTGCAAAATGCTGTAGCCTCTGTTACTGACTGGGCAGGACAACTGTGCACAGAGGCTCTTGGGCCACACTCTGATGATCCACCAATTCATGTAGCATTTCACTTTACACCTAAAAGAACAGGCAAACATTACAGATAGTTTTATTCCAATCAGACAACATGCAGACCAAAAAAGAACAATGAACAACATATTCCATTGTTTACAGTGACTTTTTGTTACCTGTATTGGAGTCTTCACAATGTCCTTCATGATGGACTGAACGACTAAAGTGGGACCACAAAGACACAGAAATACCAGGACCAGAAAGTTCCATTAAGATTGCCTGTAGAGAAGGAAAAAGAAGAAAGGCAAGAGGGAGAGTGAGAGAGAAAAAGAGAGAGAGAGGGGGAGAGAGAGTGCGAGCGAAAGAGAGACTATAATAGAGACTTTAATAATAAAAATATATCTAATATCGACTATACAATTGTGTACTATTTAATAACAAGGCTAAAATGACCCACTGTATATTTTTACCTTATGTTGCCTGAAAGGGACACATCGGCCCAAAACTATCATTTACTATGTTATTTGTCATGTTATGTAATATTACATAACCATCAAGAACCCCTCCTCACCTCCCACCCAGGTAATAAATGAATGCAGGGATGTAGAAGCTAAAAAATACAAACTTGGTATTCAGTTTTTTTGCAGTAATGTCAGCTATCTAGCTTCCTTTGGCCTATGCCAGTTAGCAGAAAGGGGGAAAACTCCCTCTAATAACTATTGGGGCACAGTTGAAACATGCAAGTAGACATGTTTACAACAGATATAACAATGGCTATATTTTTCATTTTGGCTGGAGTGCAGCTTTAATAACCAAATATTAAGAAAATTAATAGAAAATATGGCAAGAGTATACACTGAGTACATTTAAGCACACTATACACTAAGTTGCCAGTTTATTAACATATAAACACACTTGGAAGTAGATACAGAATTACAAAGTATATCATGTCTGTTGCTGAATAATTTATCAGCTGCCCTGCTTCCCCATCAATCAGTGGAAAGGAACCACTATAGGACCACCTCTGACCAGATATTATTCAGGGAGTGGACCATTATGAGCAAAGCAGAGCCACTGACATGGCAGTGTGTGTTGTGAAAGGTAATACTTTAAATGTAGAGGGCAGAGGGTCCTCAGGGTTGAAGATGAGTCAGAGGATGTGTAACACAAATTATGCATAAAAAATACTATAGTCTCTAAATGTATGCCTACATGAATGTGTGTCTAATAAATTGGCGAGTAAGTGTACAGTGTTTAACGCCACTATGTCTAATACACTTCAACCAACACCTCACAATAATTTAATGCCACTACCAGGCTGGTGTCACAGCTATACAGAGAATGGTCCCCCACTCAAATAATATCTGTTCCAAGGTGGTTCTATGGAGGTCCCTGGACAGAGTAGAGGGCAGCTGACTTGCACAACAACAGACAGCCTTTAGTCTTTAACTGTATACCTATAAATTGAACCTATACTGTACACTCTTAAAAATGATGGCTTCTCCAGGTTTCTTTAATGAAGAAAATGGTTCTATATAGAGCCATGAATACTCCCTTTGCAGGATTAAAAGGTTCTTTGCATCATGAAAGGGATCTTCAGATTGATGGAGAATGTGCTGTAGATGGTTCTATACAGAACCTTTTAGAAAATCGTTCTATATCGCACCAAAAAGTGTTCTTTTATTGGTACAATTTCAAGCTGGTAACAATAAAAGACCACTTTTTGGTGCTATATAGAACCCTTTTCAAAAAGCTTCTACATAGAACCATCTACAGCACATTTTCCGTCAATGTGAAGATCCTTTTCATGATGCAAAGAACCTTTTAATCCTGCAAAGGGTTCTTTGAGTATGTATGGTTCTATATAGAACCATTTGCTTTACTAAAGAACCCTTGAGGAACCACCTTTTGTGTGTAGGCATACACAACAAACTGGCCAACAAGTGTAGATTCAAAGTAGATGAACCTAATAGCTGGCAACTCAGTATACAGTGCACTCAATGCTATAATTAAAATGACAAATATGAAACTGCTGCAATCAAAAAAAAT